GGGGGGGGGGGGGGGGGGGGTACTGTAGTCTTGCTTTCCTACCTCGCGTGTGACGTGCGTTTCCAAACCCACTTACCCGCTCGACTTCCTCTTGGCCGAGCTCGTGGCCGCACTTCATGGTCGAGAGCGGACAGGCTGGGATGAGTGAATCTAGCAGCTGGCAGATGGCGCGTGAGAGAGAGAGAGAGACAGAGAGAGACATCAGAAACGTGGCGTTAAGCAGTAGGCCGAAAACGTTCGGTTGGCGCGCATGGCAATGGTTGGACGAGTCCAAGGGGAAACGTGAACGTGTAGTGGCATGAGACACTCGCGAAACACCCGTGAAGACCGAACCAGGTTAGATAACAAGGTCAAAGGCATGCGTACTCTCCGTGACTAGGCATCGCGCAGCAACGCCGAATCTCCCCAAAATGATTCTATGCTATGCATAAGCAAACAACTGCTGCGTCCAACCGCTGCACGCAAAATCACTATTGGCCGAGGCGACAACAAGTCGACAGCCAGCAGCCGGACCTCTGGAGGATTCAGCCGTTGTACAACTGCGCGCAGAGATGGCATGCAGGGAACGTGAAACGTGGTCGACAACCACAGATCTAAACCATCTCCTTGCACACTCGGGGCATGAGGGCCTATTATTTTGTGTGCCCTGCAGCCAGACAAAACCGGACTCCGCCTGCGAAAAGGTCGCCGTTGCCGGCGTGACCGTGTCCACTCCAAAGCCAGCCAGTACGCGGATCACAAAGCACACCTGCACTCTGCAGTGATGGTGGAGACAATCGACGCAGAAAGTGTGCTGTTCCTTGCAGTCCACCGTGAACACCTCCCCCGCCTGGATATCCTCAAAGCAGACCGGGCACGGTGATTGGCTGGCCGCAGGGGCGGCGTCGGCAAACCTGACGATCGCGAGCATGCCCCACGCGCGGCAGCAAGACCCGAAATTCAGAGGAGGCGAAGAGAGCAGCGATAGGCATCCATGCGCGCGGCCGATGCTGATTCAAAAGAACACACACTTTTCAACCGTGGAGCCCCTTGTAGACTCTACAGCAGTAGGCCTGGCCTGACGGTCCGTGGTACGCTACGCTGTGGTGTTGGATGCCGCCCCAAAGCGGACCTGGGGGAGCTTATCACGCAACAGCAAGCATTCCCTCTATCTTGGTGCACCTTGTCTACATGCCAACACGCGTGCGAAGTCTTCGAGAAGCGCAGTCGCGCGATATCCAGCCCTCATCCCTATCGAGAGTAGTTCCTTCCGCGCAACTGTTGTCAAGTGTCGGAAAAAATCAGAAGTACTTGCCTTTGCATCGCCGCTGCTCCTTGGCGCCCAGTCCCGCTCAGCCCTTCCTCCCACCCAGCAAGTGACGACACCTGGGGTTCCAGCAGCAACGATATCGCGGCCTCTTTCCACGACTCCCCACGCCCGCACTCCCTGAGCGCCCGCACCACGTGCTCGCGGTCGAAGCCCATCCCCACCAGCTCGACGATCGCTTCCTCGTCTGCTGCTGCCGCCGCCGGCGAAGCCGGGCCGTAGCCGCCGGGCCCATCGCTGTCGTGGCCGAATGCCAGGGACGCTGGCGGCGCGACACTTGGGGTCGCCCGGGCAGCAGCAGCAGCAGCAGCATCAGTAGCAGAGGAAGCGTCGGCTGCTGTTGCCGGAGGAGTGGTGCGAGCAGCAGGAGGGTGGTGGTGAGCAGGAAAGGCGGCCGCGCTTGTCGGCGGCGGCGGCGGCGGCGAAGCAGCTTCGCGCTGCGAACCGAACGGCGCCACGGACGCCGCATCAAGTCTAGCGGGCTGATCACGCGCAGGAGGAGCCGGGAGGGTTAGGCCGGCAGCGTGGCTGCTTTCTGCCGTGGATATCGCGGGGAAGTCACCGAATGTGAGCGTTGCTGCCGGTGCTGCTTCTGGGACCTCTTTGTTGGTCATAAGGACCCCCCTTCCTCCAGCTCTAGCCTGCAACGACGCCATGTCACCGGCCGCCCCGCCTTTTCCAGGCTCGTTCGTCCAGCCTGCGCCTCGCTCGCCCCTAACCATAGGGGAAGCTGACGGCTGCTTGCCTCTCTCTGTGGTGGTGGTTGGGTCAGCGGGCGTAGTCGCAGTACATGAGACGTTCTGCGCCGTCAGTCCTTTGTCACTCATCAGACTGCTAACAAGGCGTAGGTCTGCTGCTGCTGCTGCTGCTGCTGATGCGCCGCAGGCGGCGATAATAACGGTATTGAAACTGAAACAAGCCTGGTGCTGATATCTGAGTTGACACGACTGCTGGTCTAAGTTCTGTAGCTGCTGTTGCCCCAGGCTGCCGGGCCGGTCACCCACTTTTGGGGCCGAAGAGCGCCGAGGATACCTATCTGCGGAACGATCCTCTAACACATCAACTCTCTAATAAAAATTCACACCTGTCTCTGGAACGGTCTTTTCACCCGTAGCATGTGTCACGTGCCGCTTGGCCGGCCTACCTCCTGCTGCCATGCCCCCCCTACAGCTGTGAAGGTGGTGGTGGCCATCGTTGTCGAGAGAGCCGGCGCGATCAAGTTGAAGCGGAGAGTTTGGACAAGTTTCCGAGTCCGAAGCCTCGCTCGCTTCTCGGACGCCGAATGTTTCGTCCAGCATCTCAAACCCCTCGTGGTCGCTCATTTCGGCCGCCATGCACAGATGGCGAGACACTAAAGAGAGATAACTTTGGATTATATTATTTCCTTTCGTGCGCGCGTGGAGCAGCATGAGCGTGCCGCGTGGTACGCGGAGGTTTACGCCTCGAGAACTCGAGAACCTGTATTTGGTTCTGGGTCTGGTTCTGACCCGTGTTAACCCTTTCGTGACTGGGTTCTTTCTGGATCTTCCGCGTTTTTTTTTGTTCTGCCGGGACCGAATAGACCGATGAGTCATGAGACACACACACACGACACCCGCACTTGAACTTTTGCACGTTTGTTTGCGCACCAACAGGTTCCCACATGGGTCAACCGCACGCACCCCATGGTGCCACAAAGGTTTAGTGCCCAACAGCAGCGTAACCCTCACGTGAAGAATGTGATGAGTGACCGATAACTACACTGACTGCTGTACTGCTGTATGTAGGTGCTGTCGGAAACCGGAGGAGAGAGAGAGGAGAGGGCGCCGTATTTCTTTACCCCAAACACGATTACATGGTGATAGTCTACATGGATACAGCAGCAGCAGTAGAGATACATCGCATGCACAGCAGTTCTACCCCGCCGCCGATGCAGCACACTGGCGCAAGGCATGGCACCGCCTCCAATGCCACTTGGTTGGGTGATATATCCAGCGGAGACAAGAAGCACACACGCACGCGGTTTGTTTGTTGGATGCATGCATGCGAAACGAAATGAAAAAGCACCAGCACCAGCAGCAGCAGCCCGCCGCAGCAG